TCCCCAGTCTGTGAACCAATCAATGAGCAGCAGTATCTGACATCAAACTGGGCCAAGCAGCCTGGTCAGGATAGAAGCATAGGCCTCGGGGTTCCAAAAATTGGGTCCACCCCAATTTCTGGCCTGGGCTAGGCCCTGCAGTGCAAAATGTCTTACTTTGTGGGTACACGGCACTGCTGCTTCCATCAACAACAATAACCCAACATGACTTCACTGAAGTTGCTCGAAACTCTCCACAGTGGGGAGCCCATTTTGTTCCTACTACTCCGCTGAGGACCTCTCATTTGTCAAGCATCAAGTCAAGTTTTTGTGCAATTTTACCTCGTTGATCTCTTGATGCTTGGTAGGGGGTTTAAAATTTGTTTTTTTTTGCCTTATGTTACGTCACGGTGCATGGATGTATCATACCATAATGGTTTTAGATAATGTGTCTGGTTTATAGTCATTACACAGTGACCAGCAGGGTGCATGTACTCACAGGTGGGTACCTGTTTGTACCATGTGCTTATATTCTGTGCTTGATATAGACAAGAAATTAAACAAATGGGAAAAGAGGATTAGAGAGAAAGATAAAGAGACAGATGTGAGGCGGAGCATTTAGGGCTGGATTAATGGAAAGTTTTGGGACTGGAATGACTGGGAAATAAGGACAAATAAAAGACTTAAAGGTATATTAAAGTAAAGGTGACGTTTTGGGAATTATTGTTTATTGTTATTATCATTATGAATCCTTTATTTGTTTTTACCAAGAAAGGAAAATCCATAAAGATTAAAAATCTAATTTACAAGAGTGCCCTGGCCAGATAATGCAGGGATTACAGGTGAAGTGTGGAAAACGGTAAATTAAAGGCTTTGTTTAAGATTGGTATTAAAAGAGTGGTTAAATTAGCTAGGRTCAGAGGTTAGGACTGAGTTAAGATTAAAATTATGGGCTATCAATCTGGTAAACACTGACCTCCCCTCAAACTAACAAAGATATTAATGACAATACTCAAGTAGATTAAATCATCAGTGTCTGGGCAGATCCACTTGTGTCTGTCCCCACAAAAATCTGGGTTCWTATCAACCAAGACTGCAAAAATACRAATAGTCATCCTGGACATTTAAAGCTTTACAGCCCTCCAGATTCCACTTTGAATTGAAAAATCCTCTTTGATGAGAAACAAAATCAATTWATTAACAAAAAAATTAAGTCCAGGRTTCCTGTTTTAAAACATTTGTGGAATTAAGGATCAGATTATCGAACATTAGGAATGATGTGTGTGTGTTCAACGTTTGTTTAGGATGAGACAAAAGCATGAGAAGGAGCTAGATGTAAGTTTGTGACAAAAAAGATCTGTGGCAAACATCTGTTCCTTCTTCTCACCAATGGTTGACACGACAGTCCCCACGAAGTAAAACGCTCCGGTGAAGTCCCACCGAGGTCTGATCGTGTCCACGCGGATCCCAGCCACGTTCGCCTCCTCGTAGTTCCTCAAGAAGTTTTTCAAGTCCCTCTCGCTCAGGTTGTACCTCTGGGAGAAGCGCTCGAACCTCTGCGCCCACCGCGCCTTCGCCTCGCGCTCCTTGGGCTGCTCCAGCGCGGAGAAGACGGCGGCTCCGCAGAGGAGGTAGAGRATGATGAAGAGCGCCAGAAGCAGGAAGCGCGCGTTGTCCTCGTTGATCGGACCCGAGCCGCAGCAGCAGCCGCTCCTGCATGCCATTCTTCTTAGGTGGCCGTGCGGGGGACCCGCGGCATCATGGTGGTGTCGTTTAAAACGCGCGCTCCGCAGAGGAAAAGCCCGTCTCCGCGCGTGCTTTCATTCTGCAGGTGAAAGAGCCCACACGTCTCGGCTCGTGCCCACTTGCCTGTGAGTTTGACACGGCTCTGGGTTGAGAAGATATTAAAGGAGGAGGGGAGATAATCGGAGCAACCTGTAGCTGCAGAGAGTCGTGCTGATGTGCGCTTTTGGTGCTCGCCTCTCCAAAAGCAGTCCCCGCCCCGGAGTGCGCCTTTTACGCACCGCGGATGAAGACCGCCGGCGAGCTGCTGAACCCGCTCCCGGGCAGCACGCTGACCGGTGCTGCTATAGGTGTGTAATATCCTCACACAAAAGACAGTAGAGGAGCAGAGTCTCGATGACGAGGCTCGGTGTTGTGACCCGATTTGTTTCGACCTGATCCAAACTTTGGAGGTTTGATTCTGACAATACAAGCGCGTGTTTGCATGCCGAGATCAATATCAGCCGACCTTTCGCTGCGCTCTAATGGGAGATTCAGGCTTCGTTCCACGGCTACCCGGGGACGATGTGAGCAAATGTCACAACGGGAGCGGTGCTTGGAAATAAATTATTCACCATCAGAGAGGCGCCAAAAGAGCTATTTCTGGCAATTTAAACAAACAGTGAAGCGTCCAGGTCATTACAGAAGCACGGACGAAGTCAGGGTTTTGTCTCTTTATTGGCTGTAAATAACCCTTAGCTTTAAGGTCTAACCCTTTTATCKCTTAAAAATAATGTACAAKTTRCTAAAATTTCATGACAATTTAAAGRCTGCCACTACAGCTGCAGACTGTATTCCATCACCTTTAATCTCTAAAGCCCAACGCCAATTTAGGATTTACTTTGAAACAATCCAGTCTAACAAAATGCAGGCATTTTGACGTAAAACCTGAAGAATTTATGTAAAAAAAATTCTAAAGATCTGGCTCATGCTGCAAGTCAAGAGATGTTTTTAAAGTGTTTTTTTTCAAGGATTCCTTGTGAAAAAAAAATGTGTTTTCCTTATAATGGCCATGAAATTAAATTAAGATGAACAAAGGGACTCTAAATGGAATTTTAGGCTCTTTCAACAGGTTTTGTAGATCTGTTCTTTCAAAAGAGCCCTTCAGTTTTGAACCATTAGCCACGAGGGATGGCCACTGTGGTACAAAGTTGTATGGCTGAAGACATACAGAAGCCCTGCATAATATATCAAATGCCCCCACCCCCCATTCGCTTTCAAAAAATTTGAATCATCTAAACTTTACAACTATTAACATCTATTGTGTAACACTTAAGTTTTTGGGAGCTGCACACTATACAACCTGTACCCTGAATACAAAAGTTCACCTGCTCACAGCAAAAAGGAACACCTAAAAATATATATATTTGAGTGTGTTTTTATTTATCTGTCAGGAAAATATTCACCCATACCATACCATACCATACCATACCATACCATACCATACCATACCATACCATACCATACCATACCATACCATACCATACCATACCATAC